CCTTGAACCATTTCACACCAATGTTTTCGGGAAAGAACCCTCCAGCCGTGCAGGTGAAAGCCACTGATTGCCCCGGTCCCGCTCTCTGGCTGGGCCCGGACACGATCGGGGTGGAGGGTTTGGCTGTGGGGAGAAGCACAGGGCTGTCAGCCTCTGTCCCCCTGCCCAGCCCCGGGTTTGTAAGGAGCGAGGTCTCTACAGGGCATGGGGATGGCCCACGGCATCCTCTCCTGGGACCAGTTCCCAAAGCCCCCTCCCCATCCCTGCTCACCCTGAGCAGAGCCCACTGGGCTGGGCTGGGCTGGTTCCCCCCAGGAGCTGCTCTGGAAGCCCCACTCACCGAGCACAGACACCTCTGTGCCACTTCCACGCTGAAACACCTCATTCCCACCGCCCAGGGCCTTGCGGAACTTCACGCAGTAATAGGTGCCGACATCCTCGGGCTGAGCATCCCTGATGTGGATGGTGAAGTCTGTGTTGGACTCTTCCACTGCTCTCGTCACACGGGGGGAAGCACGGCCCATAGTGTCCTCATAGATGGTCCTGTTCTCAGTGCCCCAGCCCTTCAGCCACTTCACAGGACCAGCTTCAAAGGATCCAGACACGGTGCAGTTCAGGGTGAGCGTCTCCCCTGCTTTCACCGACACCTTGTCCTGGGGCTGGTGCAGCTTGAAGTCCTGACCCCTCTGGGCACCGGCACCTGGGGAAAAACCAGACCGAGTCTCAGCTGGCACCGCACATCCAGATGCCCCGTTGTTCTCCCAGTCCTAGGACAGGCTGAGCACCCCTCTGTGTTAGCAGGGACCACGGGTCACAGGGCTGTCCCCACGCCAGGGAGCCCAGGGCAGAGGCTGTGGTTATGGGCACAGTGCTCTGCCCGCAGTGCTCAGCAGTGGAACCGAACAGAGCTTTGCTCAGCCAGTGCCTGCCGTGCTCTGTATGGCTAAATCATGGAGCAAATCCCCGCTGCCCACACCTCCGGGCTGCCTCCCACGGCCACCTGGCTTTGTCAGCCAGGAGAAACAAGGGCACAAAACAAGGCACTCTTTGGAGTGCCTCTCAGGCGGTGTGACACTGTGTTTTCTGCCCTGAATCTGTCCCATTTCTGCATGGAATCCCAGCCCTGGTGATCCCAGTGGAGCACAGACACCTCTATCCCCAGTGCCAGCCAAGCAGGCACCGCTCCTGCTCCGCACCAATTGCAAGGAGCCACTCCTTCAGAGCATCTCCACACCAGCACTCTCTAATCCAGCTGCACCTCCCTGCACAGACAGCAATGTCCCAGGTGATCCCCACTACACATCCATGGGTTAATTTTATCAGTGCTTCCCACACCAGTAGAGTTATTGCAAAGAAACTCAGTAAGATTTCAAAACTGGTCACAAAGTTTTTAAGCCACGTGGGGACAGAAGTGGGGACACCACTTAGATCCACCTGCTGATAACAGGGCTCACCACTGCAGCCCCAGAGCTGGCAGTGGCACCCAGAACCATGTCATGGTCACACAGAGACTGCTGTCTTTGAGCAGGTAACACTGAGCAGTGTGGGGAGCACATGGATCAGCACTCCACAACTCTCACACCAGAATCACGGAATCACAGAATCCTTTAGGTTGGAAAAGCTCCCTAAGATCACCAAGTACAACCATTAATGGAGCGCTACCAAACCCTCCATGACTAAACCATATCCCCAAGTGCCACATCTACATGTCTTTTAAATCCCTTCAGGGATAGTGACCCCACTGCTCCTCTGGGCAGCCTGTGCCAGGGTTTGACCACCCTTTTAGTGAAGAAATTTTCCCCAGTAGCCAAACTAAACCTCCACTGGTGCAACTTGGAGCCACTTCCTCTTGAGCTGTCGCTTGTTATTCAGGAGAAAAGAATGACCCCAACTTGGCTACAACCTCCTTTCAGGGGAACCCAGGGCAGTGACTCCTGCCAAAGCTGCCTTTGGGACACAATCTCAGCTGGATGCTCCCAGGAGGACCCACTGTAGGACAAGCTGCTCTGACCCCTCAGGCCACAGCTGGCTCCCACAGAGACCAGAGCTGCTTTTTGGCAGCTGTTAATCCCTCCTGACTCCCAGCGGTATGTGCCGTACCCACAGATGTTCCTGCTGTTCCTCAGTGTGTGGAATTACTCGATCACGATGGTCGGAATTACCACGAGCAGTATCTCCAGACTCCTCCAGTTAAAGTCTTTTTGCTTTTTCAGTCCACAGCATCCCCAGTCAAAATCTTCAGGCCTTGGTGTTCCCCTTCAAAGGTGCATCAGGGTGAACATGGCAGCATCACTGCCACCAGAACATGTTTTTCCCATAAAACACAAAAGGACAGAGCTGGTTTGTGTCACGTCCAGACGTGTCATTCAGTCTGAGCCTTTGTCTTGCTTCTAAGCAGTGGCAGTCTGACCATCTGTGAGGTGACCCTGGGCTTCTCAATTGACACCCAAATTGTGAGGAGCAGCGGCCTCGTGCGCTCCTTGTGCTGAGCACGGCGCTGATGCAGGGCACGCACCACCCGATCTGCTGCTGCGGCATCTCCTGAACTTCTCCATCTCCTGAGCTTCCCCATCGCCTGCTGCCCCCAGACCTTCCACAAGAAGTGGTTGAGAAATGCAGGGAGGAAGTTTGAAAGCACAGAAGCACCATCACATCACCCGCCTCTCGATGAGCCCCTGCACGAGGATGTGACGCAGGCACCGGGACTGGCACCCCCAGCCAACAACTGCATAGATCCCCCAGCCCCTCCATGCACCCAGGGGGAAGTCACAATGTCAAGCGCTCACTCCACCAAACTGAGAAAACCCTTAGCAGGCAGCACTGCAGCACAGCAAGGGCCCTGTGCCCTGTGTGTGCCCACAGGAGCAGGGGGCCAGTCCCCCTCCCCACCCCACGGGTTCTGTGCCCCATGACGAAGGCCTTGCTCCTCTGTCAAAGCAACTGCTGGGAGGTGGTGACCCCCTATGACCTCTTGAGGGTTCCCTGCACCAGGGGGAACTGCCTGCACTGCCCTGCATAACCCAACCTGTGCGAGCCGAGTGCCTCCTCTTCATCCTCCCGCTCTCCATCTGCCCATCTCCACACGAGGCAGGATGCGTGCTGAGGGGCTGAGCTGGGAAAGTACTTTGGGGCCCCAGAGCTGACCCCAACACCAGAGCATGGTCAGGGTGGGCAGTGCTCAACCCCAAAGCTCATTTCATGTTTGCAGCGATGGGTCTCAGAGGAACGTCCACAGGAGCGCTGGGACGTTTTGCTGAGCGTGGCCAGTTGCCCTGCCCTGCTCCCCACTGCCTTGGCACAAGAGTCCTGCCTTCCTGAGACCACAGGGATTTACACCTGCAGGCAGCAGGCACGCCTCCCCCAGAGCCCAGATTTGCAGGAACGTGGATGATCTGTATGCATTCCACGTCACGGAGCCCACGTTCCCTCCTCGCCGGGCAGCGGCGTGCGAGCACCCTGTCTGCCTCCTGTGCCCGGGGATTAGCAGGCACAGAACGTGCTGTTGTCCACCGACAGGCTGCGAGGTGCTTTCCTGACTGCTGCTGCTCCCAGAGGAATCGGGAACAAAGGGCTTCGCGCTGCCGGCAGGGCTGCCCGCCCCTCAGGCTTCACTGGTCACAGCACAAAAACACCTCAGGGCTCCAGGCAGCCTCTTGGACGGGACTAAAATGGGGCTTTGGGGTATTTTTTCATCTGTTCTGAGCCACCACGCTGCTTCAGAGACTCCCACCCATCTCTGCTCAGACCACCCGGTTCAGGGTTTGCTGATCTACGACACCCGAGCTCCAGCCATGACCCACCACAGCAACACCTCCACAGCACCTGCTCGCACCTCCCAGCCCAGGAGCAGGAGTCCCTGGTCAGGCCTGGCTTCTCTTCCTCATGCCTGCACCCAAAACCCTACACCAGGACCATGCTGCCCCCAACAGCCTGCTTAGAAC